TGGAGAAAATAATGTGAGAGCCCGTGATGTAGATATGGAATCTAAACATGTCCATCTTATTCTATAACATGTTTATTTTATTATGTAACATGTTCATCTTATTCTATAACATGTTCATTTTATTATGTAACATGTTCATCTTATCGTATAACATGTTCATTTTATTATGTAACATGTTTCATATGTGAAAAATGTAACATTTTCATCTTATTAGAGAGGATTTTGGTTTGTGAAGGTGGAGGATATTCGATCGAAAGACTAATTTATGAAATTTATTTTACATTCTACTAGTTTTTCACTTTCATTCCCTATAGTATGACTATTGCATAAATTTGAGTTCTTATCTGTAGATTATGGTTTATTATTTCAGGGCGGAGATGCTTGCATTAAACGAGTGAAAGTCGAGCAAGAAATTGACCAGAATTTTATATATGAAGTGGAAATTGGAGAAAATAATGTGAGAGCCCGTGATGTAGATATGGAATCTAAACATGTCCATCTTATTCTATAACATGTTTATTTTATTATGTAACATGTTCATCTTATTCTATAACATGTTCATTTTATTATGTAACATGTTCATCTTATCGTATAACATATTCATTTTATTATGTAACATGTTCATCTTATTTTATAACATGTTCATCTAAATTTCATATGTGAAAAATGTAACATTTTCATCTTATTAGAGAGGATTTTGGTTTGTGAAGGTGGAGGATATTCGATCGAAAGACTAATTTATGAAATTTATTTTACATTCTACTAGTTTTTCACTTTCATTCTCTATAGTATGACTATTGCATAAATTTGAGTTCTTATCTGTAGATTATGGTTTATTATTTCAGGGCGAAAATGCTTGCATTAAACGAGTGAAAGTCGAGCAAGAAATTGACCAGAATTTTATATATGAAGTGGAAATTGGAGAAAATAATGTGAGAGCCCGTGATGTAGATATGGAATCTAAACATGTCCATCTTATTCTATAACATGTTTATTTTATTATGTAACATGTTCATCTTATTCTATAACATGTTCATTTTATTATGTAACATGTTCATCTTATCTATAACATGTTCATTTTATTATGTAACATGTTCATCTTATTTTATAACATGTTCATCTAAATTTCATATGTGAAAAATGTAACATTTTCATCTTATTAGAGAGGATTTTGGTTTGTGAAGGTGGAGGATATTCGATCGAAAGACCAATTTATGAAATTTATTTT